AAAAACGACAGCAACTTGTCTGTTCCCCTTCCCCCAATTCCCCAGCACTGTTCCCATCCCCCCAATTCCCCAATAAAAATCTTTAAAAACAAACAAACAAAAAAAACTTACCAAGAAACACTGATTTAAAAAAAAAAAAAGAAAGAAAACATGAATAATTTAAAGACTAATAAATTTAAAAATAAATTTAGGTGAATATGCACGTAACTATAAGAATTTAAGATATAGCTATAGAATTCTCTAGTCAGCATTTTTGTGGATGTAATATTAATAAAAAGGAACTTTTAAAAACCGTACAGTAATTCTGGGATTCCCTGAATTTTCAGCAGCTGCATTTTCTACTCTATATCTGGCGGGTTCTTCTTCCTTTCAGTTTGTGCATTTCCTGTATTCTAAAAAGTAAATAGAAACAGGACCTTAACTGAGGAAATGGTGAGTCTTTGGCTAAGGAAATACAGCCACACATAAGTACTTGTACTTTGCACCAAGGGGTTGTTTTATACAGGAAGACTACTTAGCAAAGGAGTCCCCATTATCATTATAAAACAAAAATGAATGGTGCTTGGGCTTTTATCTTTCTTGCCTAACTCACTCACTATCAATAATGTAGAGTTTCTCTCTAGGCCTGTCATAGTCTATTCAATGCGTGGATGTTATTTCAGTATACATTTAAGATGTCTAAAAGAGTTTAATGCACACCTGGGAAGTGCCTGGATCTGATTAAGTAATTCAAACTCAAGTCAATAACAGAGCCAAGAATAGAAAAGTTGCTATTACCTATCTTATGTTTTTAAAACCACATCATAGTCTCTCATGCTCTAAAAAAACAAACTACCAACTCAAAAGTTGGAAAAAGTTTCTTAATTCTGACAGTAATTTATTAAAAGTGTTTGGACTAGCTTATGTGCAATTTCAGTCACTTGTCAGAATTGTATTTGAATGGGGAGTACTAATCAAACATTAGTTTACAACCATCAGTGATGACTTCTGGTTATTTCTAACTACTACTGTGTCAAGGTCACTCTTAAAAATGTAATCTTTTCAGGAGTTCTATAGCAGATGAGCAAGAAGGGGTTTCCTTTCCTACTTTCATTTGTGTTTTTAAAATGACATAACCGTCTTAAGAGTTCATTTTTTCCTGCTTTGGAATGTAATTGTAGTTCTGCGGGGAGAGGGGACTCTCATACGACGGTGGGATAAACACATATAGCACATTACTAGCTTGCCCCAACTAAGGAGCCCTAACTCACCCAGTCATTGAAAAAAATGTGCAAATGGTGTGCTGTTCACCATGCTGTGACATCAGTAAGTCACCCAAGGTAAAGACACCTTATTACTTTTTATAATGAACTAAAAGATGACCATTAATGGCTTTCTTGTTCTATCTAGAAAATACCTCTTTTCTGCAAAGTGGACTGTGGAGTTTTTAACAAGTTCTAGGCCAAGAATAAAAGCATAAATGTCACTGTGAAAATATATCTAACGGTGTCTGATAACTCTTTTATCTGAATGTTGTGGAAACTGAATAGACCGTTAAAATGCCTTCCTAAATAGTTTCAGATCACAGTTTCTCTATATTTCTAATTTCTTCAAATTTCCTAAATAGGTATTTGGTAATTTTTGTCATGAATAAAAATGTAATCAACTTTATTTAAAAACTAAGAAATAGAGATAACGAAGTTGATGCCTTCACAAAAATCTAAGGCGATCTAAACGATTTAATTCAGTGGGTGCTCAGCATAGGACGTTGAGGGCTTCAAGATTTCCAAATAAAATTCAAGACTCTCTCAGGTGGGTAGGGGCTGGGACATTTCAACAAGATTATCTGACAGCTAGCTGAGAGCAAATATTTGTGAAAACTGGACAGTAGGCGAACAGCAGAGATGGGGGACAAAATTGGAGAAAAAGCAGGAGGGAAGAGGCTAAAGACAAACACACCTATTCTTGGGCTCAGTATAACCATATGAGTGTGTTTAACCATTATTCATTTCCTCTGACATGGTTTACTCGCCCTATATTAGGTTACACACATAACACACACACTCTTTTTCTTGGTTACCGTATCTTCTCATCGCTCCAGGATTCAAATGAGAGCTGGTATTCACTACTCCCCCCCAAAACTTTTAGAAACCTTTAGTAACTGGTTATTCTAGAAAAATATAGAACTGCTTCTCGAGTTCAAAGATTACAGAATTTAGAATTTTTATATAACTTTCCAATTATAATAACTAAATTTAATCACCAAGTCAAGGGTTGTAAACAACAAAAACAGCTATAAACAAAAAAAGTTTTACCTTTTGTTTTTCTTGATTTTGATCCACATTAAGTAAAGTTGGTATTTTAGATGAGTCTGTTTTCTTTGATGCCCTCTTCAGCACTTTTATCTGTTTAACTTTTGCAAAAATATATACAACAATGACAACTTGTTACTCCTACTTTGAAATTTTACTTTCCTTTGTAAGAGTTCCAAATGGAAATTCTGATATCCACTAAAGCCAGTTTCTCACTTTATTATAAAGGAGCTGAACAGATCATGAGTTATACTGGTAAAGTGTGCCAATCATAAATTATTTGTTTTATAACTTTACAAAGAATCTACCATTAAAAGAAGGCTTTTCTTTTTTTAATTCCGAGTATAACCGTTAAGTGGATCAGATAATTCCTCTTGAACTGTGCAAGTACTATATTCTTGCTATTATATTAACTTTTCACAAGGTGTCACTGTTCTTCAAAGAAACATAACATTTACTCTGCCAAAAAATGAGTTTCATTTTAAGAGCTCAATACATGTTATAAATCTTAACCTACTAAATCCTTGGGATGCCTGAAGTACATATGCCATTCCTGCTACTATATGATCAAATAATCATGAAGAAATATAGGACATTGATTTGCTCCAGGTCATGCACTGACCCATAACAACCTTCCTCAAAACCGTTCTACCATTTCAACAATACTGAGAGCTAATGAAAATTTTACCTTCTTAACTTTTCTTTAAAATTATCTCCTTTAAGTCTCCTTTAACCCCTTATTGACTATGGGAAAAAATTCTCGTCAGCTGAAAATATTTTTTGCAGTACTTTACTGTTTTCCACCTCAATCACATGATAAAATCTAAGTTGTATTACAAAAAAAAAGGTCTTGTCAAAGATAACATCTGGAGATTTGTAAAACTACATGATAAATGTGTACCTTCCATTCCTTTCATCTCCTTTGACTTTATTGTAAAAGGCAATTCTGGGAAATGGAATTCTTTCCTGCCAGCTCTGGCAAAATTCAGCTTCCTTTTGTTTCCATTTGCCATTTGGTCACTTTGATCTGCTCGCTCATTAAATACCCCCTTCTCCATTTGGCTCTAAACAAAAAAACAAAAGTAAATTTGAAGAAAGATGTGTCACCATTTATTAAATGACAAGCCTAGAATTATTAGCCATTTAGATGATATAAGAGACATAACAATGCCTATCTTTGCAAGGTTATTTTAATCATTAAGAAGTAGAATATAATACCAATAAACAGATCAAATGCCAATAAAAGTTTCATGAAGCAAACTTTTTTTTAGCATATTAAATATTCTGAGAATCATAGTCTTGATCATGAATAGCACAATTTTAACTTTTAATTTTTAATCCTATTCACTGTACTCTGACTTTGGACAAATGGCTTCAGTTCACTTTATTAATAATTTGTTTTTCTATTTACAAAATGATATGCTCTGGACACTAGGAAAACCCAAAGGAAAAAAATTACTTGTGAATGCAGTATTCTAGAAAACCTTTTATGTTATCTGTTTTTGCTCATTTGACAACAGATGATAAAAAGTTTCCTAGAACTTTCTTCCACAATGTAATGTGTAGTATCCCACTGTGTGGATATACTCTTATGTACTTAACCAGTCACTTGCTCGTGGATGAATTTGTGTTGTTTTCAGTTTTTTATTATTGTAAATAACACTGGGCTTCAATTTTGCATAAGCTACTTTCCTATGGAAAAAAAAATGAGGGAATGAACTACATTGATTAGTTTTTCTAGTGAAAAGCAAAATGTGTCTATTTGGCGATTGCTTTTAATCTATAAAGTAAACTATCAAAAACATTTTCGGGAAGTGAAAAACCAGAAAAGTCTTGTGGCTTTTAAAGGTGAAAATCTTAATTCCCCCCTGCCCCAAGTCACACATTAAAAATACAAATCAAGTTAAAAGAAATTAACTAAAGTTATGAAAGGTCTAAGGAAATGATGGCCTATTTTCATCTCAGGGGAAAAAAAAAGATAAGAAAAGTATATTTTTAAAAATGCTACAGTAGAGCCCCGTATATGGGGGAAAGGACAAGGAGAGAGGACAGGGTGCGCATGGATAATGTTGAAAGGCCATATTTCAATGACCAGCTTCTTGCCTTACTTGAGTGGCACCTGTACCCTCTTGCCTACAAGTAGACATAAGTTGTCCAATAGATTGTGAAGAAGTACGTCTCTTTTTCGCTCTTTCAGTTAACCTATTATTTAAAAACAAATGAGAAGCTATTAGAACTCCCCAGGAGTGCATCTGTTTTAGCTTCCATAATGAATAAGCTACATCATGGAAGTCTGCTGGTTGAACACAGAGTACCAAAATACAATGGTCAGTCCCTAAGTGCCAAATGCTCTCAGTAGAGAAGTGAAAACAGAGTGGAGAACACCTCGCTCATGGCTGACAACAGTGGTGACAAGTATGTTGTGGGGTTACTCCAGCTTGGATCTGTTCTGAACCTGGATCTCTTAACTACTGGGTTTCTGAATTTCTAAGCTTGCTGTCCAAGGCTGGTTTTCAACCATGGTTAATGCAACCATGGATTTTGGGTCACTTGAAGAACAACTGAGCTCCTGCTGTCTGTAACCCACTGTAGCTTTTGACTGACACAGACATGTCTACTTGACCACCTTTCACAATTTATAGCCCAAACCACTCTGCTAGGATCAACGTGGGATACTGAACCTAGTCTCCTTCCTCATCTAGACATACAGTAGTTGCCCTAAATTTAGAATAGCCCTGATGCCTCACTAGACAGATCCTTGCCCCCATCACACTGCCCTTGATTAACAGACTCATGTACCAGTCTCTAAATCTGTAGCAGTCACTAAATCTAAAACTAGCCCAAAATGTTATTTTGCTCCTAAAATATTTGACCTTGAAAGGCTATTTGACTATAAAAGATTATTTTAAATATCCTTCCTCCATTTCTCTCCTTGAAGCAGAGAATTTGCTGTGATAAGAGAAATAAAACCTACTTAGCTATACGAAGGCACATCAATACCAGAACTTAGAGCATATCACCTTTTTTTTTTTAAATTTTATTGGGGAATTGGGGAAGGAAAACAGTGTTGGGGAATTGAAGAAGGGGACCAGCCAAGTTGTTGTTCTTCAATCTTCGTTGTGGAGGGCGCCAGTAGCCATCTGGCTTTCCCGTTGGCAGCTCGTGGCCTCTAAGCTCAAGGTGCTGTGTTCAATCTTAGTTGCGGGTGGGCGTAGCCACCATTCCATGTGGGAGTCGAACCAGCAGCCTTTTTGTTAAGAGCACACTCTCTATCCACTGAGCCATCCGGGTGGCAGCTCAGCTCAAGGTGCCACGTTCAGTCTTAGTAGCAGGTGGGTGTAGCCCACCATCTAACAGGAAATTTTGTTGTTACACCAGCTGAGCCATCCTGCCACCTGCTGGTAGCTCAGCTCAGGCGCAGCATCACTGGCCCATGTGGGAATCGAACTGGCAGCGCTGTTGCTCAGAGCTCACGCTCTTAAGCCAACTCTTAACCAACTGAGCCACTCAGCTGGCCCCATATCACCTTTTTTTCTCTTTAAGTGAAAAGAAATTTTTCTGAGGTTTTTTTTTTTTTGATGAGGTTTTTCCAAAAGGCGTTTGTGAAAAATTAAACATCTATATAGCCAAGAAAAGTTAATTTCTTCTAGAGCATTCATGAGGAGCACTCAGTAATGCCCATTTTATGATTATCATTTCAATGTATCTTTAAATTCAATTTATATACAGACACTATGAACTTGATTCTTTGAGCTACCATTATATAGGAATATTGTATTAACTAGGTCCATTTCTTTCTGTCTCTTTTCTGTTAGAACTCACCTTGAGTTGGAGTGGGAGAGATTTGAATTGGGATTAGTAGCCATCAAATTACTGCTAGTTAGATTTATGGGTGGCATTGTCATGCTACCACCAGCATGTGGGTCATCTTTCATGCCATTAGAATTAGTGCTGGGATTGACAGGGTTTGATGGCTCATTGATGATAGATTTTGTATCTTGAGCGTTTTCAATTGCATCCTGTTGAGAGAGTCTACTTTCATACTCTGTCTGTTTTGGTTCTAAGATACCTCCTTTTCCTCTTTTGACTTTAATAACTCTGACTTTGATATCCTTAGGCTTTTTCTCTTTTTCCATTTCCTGGAATAGATACAACCAAAATCTGAGTCAGGAGAACAGTAATTTTTATCATTAGAGTGCTACCTATAATACAGTTATACTGGCTAAAAATAAAACCAGTTGTTACCTTTCCCAAAACTGAAGTGCTTAGCAGTGCATTGGTATGTATGGTTTTTCTTTCATCTTTAGTAAGTTCATTTTCTTTAGAATTCTCTTTTGGCTTTATGAATGAATTGACTTTTGCTTCTTGTAGTAATTTAGCTCTTAGTTCCGGTAAGAATCTGATAAAATAAGCAATCATCAAACAATAATATATTTATTTATGTAGTTAGAGTATTTTATCTTTAAGGACCATTTAATAAATTAATTTACATTGCAGCCACAGCATAAATAAGTCATCAGTAATGCATGCCAAGACATGGCCCAATATTTACCTAATATAAATTACTTCCTGGTAAAGATATATCTTTCAATTTTGCTATGGGAATTTACTATATAAAATGTTTACAAAATAGATATATGAATTAGATTTCTTTTGTGATGCAAACTTTACTCAATAAAAGTATTGCTTTTAATTTTGATAAATATACTATTCAAAAAAGACTCAGGCCGCTTTGTCTTTTTTGTGGTTCTTTAAAGTAACAGTACTTAAAAAATGAACTGACTAGTTTTCTGAAATCTTACTCTAGAGAAATATTTTCAGTACAAAATGTAACAGAACATCAATACTGAAGGGAGATTGTTTTGGTTTTAGTTTGACTTTCTTTTTTAAAAAAGCTATTTTTGCATACAAAATCCATTCGTATGGCTCAAATTCAAAAGGCTATACTGAAGGGCCGGCTGAGTGGCTCTGCTGGTTAAGAGCTCGACTCGCTCAAGAGTGCGAGCTCTGAGCAACAGGGT